AAGGAGAATGGGTTTGAAAAAAATGGTGCAAAGTACGTCTGGAGAGTGAGATTCAGCATTCATAGTCTGCATTTAAAATACTGTATATAAATAAAGTAGTCCCAAACAAAGACATAGAAAAATATAGAACGTCATGAAGAAACATATCAAAATAGTAATCTAAGACGTGGGTAGAAACTAGTTTAAATTTATTTAGTTAGGTACTTAAGTAACTTCATGATAAAAAAAATATACTTTTAGCAGTAGTTTTTCTGTACACTACTTTTTTACCTTTACTTGAGTTATATGTTAATAAAATATGGCTACTCTCATGTACATTTTTTTTATCCATGAGTAACTTCACTAAATAACAAACAAGCATTTTTTTTAAAGGGCTCCAGACACACAGTTAATGTTTATGGCAAAATGAGTGTTTGTTTTTTGTACACAAGCTTACTTTAACTGTCCATGACATTTGTAGGTCAACCAAATATACAATAAGGAGTAAACATTGTCACTGGATGAACTGGTTGATAAGTTTTATGTTAGAAAGAAAATATCATTATATTCCTTAAAGTACCAGAATTTGTACATCATTTTACACTTTGATGGTCTTTATGACATGATTTGAGATATCAGATATTATGATGAGTTACTCAGTACTTAAGTGGCATTTTCAGTTGAGTAAAAATATGATAAAGTTTATGTTTGGATACAATTTTTTGGTACTCTAGCAAAAACAATGCAGATTAAAGCTGGTTAAATTGCACTTGCATAGACATATTTATCTTCACAGTTGATAGTGGCTACACATCCTCAGTGTTTACTACACAACTTTTCTTAGATAACGCCGCATGTCGGCAGTGAAGCATGGAGGTGTAAATACTATGATTTGGGTTAACCTTGCAGACTGAGGAACTGGGCATCCAGCAGTGATTAAATAACATTCAAATTTCAGAACTGAATAAGGATTTCATCATAAATATTTATCTGATGACGCTTAAAAGAAATGTATTGGTGCAATATGCTAAAAAAAAAAACTAAATGCTGCTTTTTTCTGTTAGTGGTCAGTTTTAGCTTCCGCCACAAATTTTTATGGGATCATTTTAGACATTTTGGAATCTTTGGAGGGAAATTCAACAATGTAAAATAAGACTTATTGCTGTGATCACTGTGCACCATCTTTGTTAGCATGGACTGTTTGAAAAGAGATGAAAAAATTCATTACTCAGATATCGTACAGATAACGGTTTCAATCAGAGTTATGTAACTTTCTCATGACTCTATGTGAAGTTGAAGTCATGTGCTTGGCTTCACTGTTGCTATTTGTTCCATCAATGCCAATAATTTAATATCCTCCGTTAGCGAAATCTCGTGACACAGCAGTCAGAAGAAAAGGATGAATGACCATGAACTCACAGGGGAATGTTCCCTTCAAAGCAGGTAAGCTGAAATGAGCAGAATGGCATTAAAAAAGAATAAGGTATATAAACAAAATTTGCTTAGACATTTCTCCTAAAAGGGTGCTAAAAACAATTGTCTGAATGTACCTCAACTAACATGGAATTAGTTATTTTTTCAAAATGAAATATGTATGTTTGTGGTGCATTTGCATTTGCAGATAATTAAAAATGTTGCTGATCTACTCAGAAAAAAATGCTGACAGTTTGGTTTTCTTTTTGCGTTCCAACAGGATCTGTCAGACTTATATTTAGTCACTCGTGTCTAAACCAGTCAAATAAATTAATCATCTGCATGAACAAGTACAAAGTTTTAAACTTTGTTTTTAGAAATTATACACATTTTTATATTCTTTCTCTGGTAATATTTTTAACCCCCCAAAAAATCTATCTATCTATTTCTTTCTATTTTGCCTTAAGATAAAAGTTTGGTCTTTTAAAATCAATACAGCCGTGGTTTGGTCAAAGTCCAAAACATTATAATCTCTGTGATGGACAAAACTAAATAATTCTAACAAATCAAATTTCATTTAGAACTAATTATTATGTTATCAAAAAAAAAAAAAATGGATAATTTATTTTTAAAAAAAGATGACAAATCAATATAAGTTTGAAAATGGTCAGTATGGGTTTTATAAAAAAAAAGCTGCATACATTGCAATGACAACAAATGCATATCCATCATTTAATAAGTCAAAAATGAAACCAAATGAGTAATAAAGATAAATATACTGTACACTCCTATAATAAGATCAACAGCACATGACAAGAGCCGATCAGATAATGAGGTAAACTCAATTACTGCCTCACGAGAATGGAGCTTAAAAGATCACGGGATGGAGGTCCAGCACCTGAATTAAAATGTTATTGAAAGCCAAACGCTGTGAATAAGTTATGCAATCCATCTGTGCTTTTACTCACTCTACATTTCTCTCCAAATCAGTTTACTTTTTGGATTTGTGCTATTTTTTGTATTGCTTTCACACATCAAAGTATTCATTCCCGCTGTTAAATAACAAGATAACTATAGCTGACCTCATTTCTTGGTTTAGTTTGACCAACCACACCAAGGATTGATTAACATACTTAAGGTACTTAGAAATTACTTATATAGACCCTTTCTGACAACAAGAATTTTGCTAAAATATCCCAAAAAGCAACATATTGTGTTCTGATCTATGAATAAAAAAATAAAAAAAAAATAAAAATCATGAATAAAGAAGCGAACAAAACTCCAGATGCAGATATCAACCTGAAAAAAGTTACTAAGTGTTTTCTGGGATTTTGAAACTTCAGCAAACCACAGTGAGAACTTATCTCCACAAACATGGAAAAGATTGAACAACGCTGAACCTTTCCAGTAAAGGACAATATTTTAGGAGTGAATCAACATCACATTAAGGATATGAAGGAGGAACCCAGAAATCTAACTGTAGGCCTCACCTGTCTCAGTTAATCAAAGTTCATGTTAAAGTTCTGTTATTTGGAATTAGTTTTAGATAACAGCATTAATGAGTACTAAGGACCAAATATGTCTACCTGGCATTAACCTTTTAGAGAAACATTTGCTAATCTGAGATTGGAGACTGATCTTGCAGTATCTAGCAATTTGCCATAAAATCAGCACAAAATTTTAGAAAGAAAGAATCATAGAAACTATAAAAGATGGTGGTGGTAGTGTGTAAATTGAGACTGTTTGCTGGCTCAGAACCAGACAAATACAGAAGTTTGACCAGATTTCTTTATTCAACAAATGAAATGAAAAATTATGTTTTGTGTTTTCTGAGATTATATATTTTGTCGTGAATTGAAACTTCTAAGTTGGTTAAAAAAAGAGAAAATAAAGTATATAGTGCAGTATATTTCTAAACTAACTACCTAATTTACCTAATTCAGTTATGCTTAAATTCTTACATAAGATACCAGACTTAAAATATGTTAGGGTTAGATGTTCTTAGCTAGATTCCCACAATGAATTTTAACATTGTAGCTATGTAATGACAATTTAATCTTATGTTTGGTTGATTTTTTAAAGTTACATAAATTTTATTTAATAATTCACAATCGATTCAATGAACAAACAGAATAAAAAGAAATATCACAAAAGCTTTACATATATTTTTAATAAATAGGTTCTTCATACAAGTTAAAATCCAAAGTTAATCTGTACAATATCCTGATTGTGCTGTGTTAATGATTTGCCAATGCATTTCCATGGTGGTCCCAGTTAAAGTCCACTAACACATGTCCCATGATATCCATGCATGTGGAGCTGCCGGACCTCATGATTTGTGTTGGACTTTGACTCTATTGATAGGTGTGCTCCTACTAATGAGAAGCATGCAATGTGGCACATTAGCGTGTCCATCATTACCTTTTTTTTTCCAGTATTGTCAGGCATCCAAACTGTCCAACTAAAGTCCATTTCTTTGTTTGTATTTGAGTTCAAATGAACCGAAATAGAAGTTGTATTGAGAAAGATGCAGCTCAATGACACGCCAAAAATAGATACTGTTGCATAAAACCACCTGAAAAATCACCCGCCTTAAGCAAAATCAGAATGTACATACATGCAGGATTTATTTGCATTATTTTGTGCAGAATTTCTACATGGTTTGGAAAGAAAATAATAGCATTTAAAATAATCATCTAAAATTTCAGCCCTTGAAATACATGTGTAAATCGTACTTAGTTCCTGCATTGTGAAAAAGCATTTGCCTCCTTATGGATTTCTACTACTTTTTGTCATTTTTTTTCTTAATTGTTTAACACACTGGTTATCAGTCAAATACAGCCTGAATTCCCAAAACAATTAGAAAAAAAATGTTTTTTTCATTTATTTGGATTAAAACAAACCAATTCAGTCCATGTGAAATAAATTATTGCATTCCTCAATCTCCATACAGTAGCGGTTAACTGATGTTTTATCCACTTTTACATACACCCATGAAGACTATCAGATATACAAATATACAGCCACATTTAATGAATTAAGATATTATTAAAAAGTTCACTTATTTCACTCACTCAGTCACTAAGTAAAAAAAAAAGGCTGATGTTTTCCAGACTTTATTTCTGTCAATTATGATTATATTTTTGCTTATAGATAATGAAAGCACCAATTTATTTAATTTTATTTAATGTGAGCTGGATAATAAAGTGTTTGATATATGCTTTTTTTTTAAAGGTATTATGTTATTTAGAAAATGTGAACTATGTAGCTAATTTATTGAGTATGACTGACAGCAAGGTGTCAGTAAATTCCACTTAAGTAGTTGGCTAATTGCTTCCACCTAGCGGCTTTGCGATGAAAAAACTAAATGTTTACTGCGCATAGGTTAATTGTGAATTAAATGTATGTTGTGGCTTATCAAAAATTACTATATGCTGTCATTTTAAATACATCTAGACTGAGAAAAACGTTTTTCTTTTTTGTGGTTAATTTAATTTTGAAATGCAATATTATTATTATTGTTTTCTAAAAATAATAGTAATAATAATTATTAAAAAATTTCCGACAACGCAAATGATCTCGAACGCAGCACCGGGTCACATGACCAGCCCACAGCTGAGGGATGCCGAGACTTGCCTGTTGCTAGCCAGCTAGCCCCGTTAGCTGTGTCTGGCGATTCTGGCTGAAACGGATGGATTTTAATCCGCTTTTCCTGAACGACTCCAACTGAGTTACCCAAACAACTCGACATGGGGAGGATACAATGTGTATGGTGGTCCTCTGTATCCCCTCGTACCGTCAACCTTTGCCTTAGCTTTAGTGTCATAAATCGTAGCTAGGCTGTTCAGTTATCTGAAGGCCAAGCGAAGAAAAGGCAGGCCGTCACTGGGTAAGTACACTTACTATTTAGACATATTTTCCACCTTTGCATTTTATATTTTTTCATTTTAACGTCAAATTCCTGATAATTTTGTAGCTGTTGCCTAATTACAGCCTGTAGTATTATCGTTCCTGTATACATAGTGTTATCGGTTATTACCAGCCAAGCTCCTGTCAGCTGAGCATAATTAGTGCTGGGTGTGTTATTTATATCGGCCAATCATGAAATAAAGCCTCAAATGTAAACATTTGTTTATTTTTCTTCACTTTCCGTGTGTTGATAAAGCTGGAGGATTTGTTTTCAGTATGTGGAACCGAAAGGAAATAAATCCTGCTGCCCTGGTTAGCTCAGCATTAATCATAACCAAATGTTTTCGCATTGACGTCCTAAAGCTGCTAACGAGTTGAGTATTTGAACTAGAAGGTTATTTTAGGAAAACTACAGGTTTACAGTTTGACTCTGACACGAGCACCCTATAAAAGTTATCAGGATCTGATGGAAAAACAAAAACTGTCACCACCAGTGAAGCTTTTTTCCAGTGTTTGTGATTCAAGGTGGTCCATATTAAACCTCCCGGATCATTGGTTACTTCTTTTTTATAATTTTAACTCTAGCCCTTTTGTTCTATTTAGATGGATATATTTTTTAATACGCTGACAAGGATTTAAAAATAAATAAATCATAAATTTTATTAAAATGATTAAGGAGCACATTGCATGTTTATGCCATTTTTCTAATGTGTGCTGATTTGGTATTGCAAGTTGGCATTCCATGTACAGTTGTATAGTATTTGACAGATTACAATTCATACTGTCTTTATTTAAGATTTGTAAAAAAATATATTGATCTAAGGAAGCCTTTAAAAGAGCATTGCAGTTTTTTTGCTTTTTACAGAAATGTCAAATGAACATCGAACAGAAAAGGAACTGATTTCCAGGCTTTTGCATATAAATTTCAGCTGTTAAATCCTAAAATAAAGCTTTTTTAAAGGGAGATGTAGGTATTTACTGTTCTACTTCAATAAAGCCTACTATTATTCTTTTCAAGAGCTGATTTTTTTTCCTCACACAAAAGCTGAAATAAGAAATCTAAAATAAGGGCTGGGCTTAACTTAACTTGATTATACTTAACACACAATTTGTACTAATGACTTAGATGGCGCCTGCACACATATTTGATCCTCTTACATATTTAAGGTTTAAAAAAAAAAAGAAAAAAAAAAGCATAGACTATATGAGAGTCTGGGATGGTTGAAGCAGTAATGTCTTGTCTATGGAGAGCGATTTCATTCAAAATTAGATAAATACTGCTATTGATAAATTGTCAATAAATATTACATTTAATAAATAAATATCCTCATGAAATAATTAAAAATAGATGTTAAAATAATGTTTAGCGTATTTATTTTTTATTATTTTTCAATATTCTTTATTCATTTAAAGATCTATTAATTACATATTATAGTTCATAATTGTGTAATATTTTATTATTTTGTAAAACTAATTTATTTTTATTTTTTAACTCCTTTCTTCATTTTAGGCTCCTTTTAATTCATGTTATATTTAATTGAGGGGGCAAGTTTTATCTGCTGGGTGGCGCTTGTAAGAGTTCAGCGATGCAGGAGTGAAACACAAAGCAGCTCGAAAGTAGCTTCTCTTAACAGAAAAAGAAAAGAATTAATGCAGATTTTTTTATTTATTTTTTGCTGCATTTTGAACAATGCTTCTGATCTTTCTGTATTTATTTTAACTGATTTACAAAGTCTGAAAACAGAAGCATCTCAAACTTATTGAGAGAAAAATATTACTCGTCTGTGCCAGATCTGTCCCGGAAATGGGATCCAATGCTACTTCAGAAACTCTTTCTGCTTTTCATTTAAGTATAAGTTAGTATAATTTTAGTTTTTTTTTTCGGAGTTTAATTTTTCCTTTCATTTTAAATGTATGGTATACAATACATAATTTAAAGAAAGAAACAGCCAAAATGCAGATACAAACGGTGTAATCATATTTTGCTGGACCGATTATCTCAGAATGAATGTAAAAAGTATCCAATTGGCTGAGAAAATGTATTTTTTTAAATATGTATCTAAGTATTCTTTGCGTTTTAATGATAAAAATAAGTGCTTTTAGTACTTTAATTACATTATTTATTACAGTCTGGATGAATATCTGTTTGCACATGTGCAAATGAGCTGATGGTACGGACCGTGCTTCCGGTATGGATTGGGTAGTAACGGGAACAAGCAGAGTTCAGCAAGAAGGAATACTTTAATCTAATTGGTCATCGTGCTTGCAGTACTTCAGTTTCTGCAAAGCCCCGCCTCATTATTTGAATATAAGAACATGAAATAAAAGGGCATTAAATGAAAAACAGAGTTATCAAAATTAAAGTCGCTGAATATGTAAACTAGCTTTACAAAATAAGTGTCACAAAATAATAATCCATTATGAAGTGAGTAATCAAAGAAATTATGTAATTAATACATCTCTGAATAAATAAAACAATCTCAAAATGTAATAGAATAAAGTAAGATAACAATTATTTTGACATTTTTATTTTATTTATTTCATGGAGATGTTGTGAATGTCATGGCAGTATTTATTTAATTTAGAATAAAAAGGCTCTCCATAGTAGTTAGGTAGCTGTTTGCACATAATAAATTGATGTTGTTGACAGAGGTAATCATAGTTCAATACTACCTAAATGTTGGTATTTTCTGTTGAATGTGATTGCTACAAGCTTAATTCCTCCTGAACTTTAAGTGCTGCATTTGGCTGCCAGCATTTAAGACAATATTTTGCTTACCTGTCCAGCAGGAACCTGTTGTCTGAGCCCATTTGCTATCTTAGGTCAGCTCCAACATTCAAATTGTTTTTTATTGTATCTGTTCATTCAAAAGCCATGCTTTGATAACATGTGGTGTTTATGTTTGCAGCACAAATCTGGTATCAGTTACACCGATGTCAAGTTAATTGATATCAGCCTTAAAATATCTGTAAGAGACGAACTCCAATTCAAGAATTATCTCCCAAGTCCTATTTAAGATGAATATTGAAGTTGGAAAATGACTCCATCTTGGAAAAGGCGAATGCTCTCAGTGCTTAATTCAAAGCGTAAGATTAATGACATGATGGCAGCTGAGCAGCAGGAGCATTTGATCAAATGGTCCTGATTTGAATTTTTATATTTTAAATGTGATGCATGCCTTTTGTGTTGTTAATGTCCTCCTGGGGATTCTGCTTGTAGGTGGATCAGAGAAGATTGAGGCGTCACATCTTGCACATCTACTTTGGGATCAGCCACCGTCGCCTCTGCCAGTATTTTCAACTCCTTCCACCCCAGATGAGCCATGTCTTCGTCAGGGTGCTGCCAGCTCCCCGGCTCCCTTTGCGATTATTCTGGGAACACTGAGACTAATGCCTCTAAGGATTCAGAGGAGTCTGATTCTACTACACAGGCCCAGTACGTTGCCAAGGTTACGGCTAAAGATGGCCGCCCACTTTCCACTGTTGTCAAAGCTGTGAGCTTGCAGAGGTAAGTGTAAAGCTCACATGTGGCTCTAATAAAGCACAAAAATGTTGCTCACATCATTTTTTTTTTTTTATCCTCCTGCAATGTCCCGGATGTGGAATCAGCGATGTGGGGATGTGTCGAATTTGTCATGAGGGAGCTGGAGGGGAGACGCTGCTCTCACCCTGCGACTGCACTGGTACTCTGGGAAAAGTGCACAAGAGCTGCCTAGAAAAGTGGCTGTCCTCCTCTAACACCAGCTACTGTGAACTTTGTCACACAGAGTTCACCATCGAACGGAGGCCACAGCCACTGACACAGGTTAGAGGGACCATTCTGTACTGATGGGAGTTTCAGATCTCTTTTTTGTTGTTGTTTTTAAGAAAGTGGTCTTTTCCGGAACTTTAGTAACTAGTTGTCTTCACACAGAAATTTGTGCATATTATTTATTAGGAACAGATGTATGAGTTTACTCAAATAGCAGCTGACCTTGAGTTACAATAAGCTCTTCATCTTCCTGCTCAGTGGCTGAAGGACCCCGGGCCTCGCAGTGAGAAGCGCACGTTGCTGTGTGACATGGCCTGCTTCCTTCTCATCACACCCCTGGCGGCTATCTCAGGGTGGTTGTGTCTCAGGGGGGCCCAGGACCATCTGCAGCTGAAAAGCCGACTTGAAGCTGTTGGGCTTATCGCTCTGACCATCGCCCTCTTCACCATCTACATCCTCTGGACACTGGTAACTACATACTTGATTACCACAATATTATTTAAAACTCTTGAACTTTTACACGTTTTGTCACACTATAACAGCAGACTTCATTGTATTTCATTTGGACTTTATGTGAAACAGCCTCTTAAAGTCACACATAATCGAGAGATAGTATGAAAATGATCCATCTCAGTGAGGAGCCCCATTTTACTGGAATTTAGTCTTTTGGGGAATCTCCCCAATAGGTTTGAACTATAAATCGAACTCTATGACAAATGGTTTAAACTCAGAGTGGAAGGAAACATCTGTGAATATCTTTAGGCTTTGCCAAATATTTTCTATTGGATGTATTTCAGTTTTTTTCTCAGTTTGCTCATGGTCAGAGTTGTATTGGACTCTTAACCTCTGATCAGAGCTCAGGTCCAGCCATCCTCCCATCCACTCTCAACAGCTTTCCTGTCTTTGTTGTCCAAAACATTCCATAGAGCTTGATGACGCAACTCCAGGTTTGTTACAGGGCGCTGTGCGTTGGGTTAGTCTTCTGCTGCATGCAGTATTTAACATTTGGGCCGGGGTTCTTAAATGTATCTGAACAGATCCCCCTTTTCATGTGTTGTTGTGTTTTGTACATCACAAACTTTAAAGAGTTGCTTAGTTCATACTCTCTCCCTAAAAAGCAAGAGTTTTGTATTACACCATTTAGGGTTCTGTTCCATTTTTACAGCCCTGAAACGTGCCAAGTTCGGACCGAGCTTGGATCATATAACCGTGCCGATCTTGGTTCTCACGGCCGTTTACACGTCACACTAGCACGGTTCCTCAGCTCCAATAAGTGGTCCACACTACGTGCATTTCCTGTTTGATACCTTACCGGCTTGTTTTGTTTGTATGATCACCATTGTGGAAAACGACTAATGAAGATGGACCAGCTAGTAGAGTGAGGTGGGCGATAACGCTGAGACTAGGGATAGGAATTGAAAACCGGTTCCGGTTCAGAACTGGTTCCGTGTGTTCCAATTCCATGGCACCGTTTGGCACCTCGCTTAACGATTCTCTTAACGATAAAAGGCAGCACCAGAGCAGATCTCTGCGCAGCATGTCTTGCGTGACGTTTTTTTACGCCAGTTACGCACACAACATTCAGTACGGCGTAACCAGGCGTAAGTCTAGAAAAGCAAAACAAAGGAGGTGAAAGTGATCGAAAGATTGGCTTCATTTTAAGGAGGAGAAAGATGGCAACAAGGCACTTTGCAATCATTGCAAAGTGGCAATTACATCCACGGGAGGAAATGCATCCAACATGCAGAAACCCCTGCACACACAACATGGCATACATTTTAACAAATGCCGTGTTTTTGATGCTTCCGGAGAAAAGCTAAAGTTACGACCAGCATGGAAGGTAACTCTGGTGGTAAGTAGCTAGTTTTATATCACTAGCTGTGCTTAATGTGGTTCCTAGTAAGTCATATGCCATTTCTGGAAATAAACCAGTGTCAAACCTCTCTTTTGTGTTATTAAACATGCTACAAAGTTGATCCGCAGTTCAGGGACCGAGAGAAAGGTGATCCTCCTTTATTTAAATCAGGGGGAGATGAGTTTATTTCCCAAAATTGTACAGTAATGCTTTTTCATTAAACGGATGCCTTCTACATTAGATTTAGATAACTGACGAGACGGGTAGCTTGGCTGGCTGAGAGGCTGGCAGCTCCCATTCACTGCCTTCTGTTTTCGCCGAGGCAGGCAGAAATAGAATGACCTAGGCGAAGGTAGACAGATGTCACTGTGTACTTACCAAGTTCATTGTTTCACAGAATCGATACGGTAATCGGATACGTGAAAATCAAATAAATTCCCAACCCTAGCAGGGACCCTGTTTCCACCTGGATCCCCGCTCTTTTTCGCACTCATGTCCCTCCGTTGTCGCACAAACTTTCCCCCATGTCCTCATCGCCGTATCTAAACCCACAGCTAGTTCGTGATTGTCCCTCTTGCGTTGTGGCGTGGAATAACATAGCATAGACCACCCTTTAATATTGAGCATAAATCAAAAGTATCTCCGACAAGCTCACTGCGAAAAACTGCTGCGGGAGTATAACCATTTCTCTAAACATTTATCTCAGTTACCGTGCTCAGACCATTCTCGGCAGTTTAAAAGTCCGGTGTAAATGGGGCTTTAGTCAGTAAAGGCATCTTAGCTGCCGATCTGATTAAAGCTTTGTTTTGAAAAAAAGAAATCCTTTAACTATAGTTTTCCACAGCTTTATGTTGGGATTTTACAACCCTGTAGGATACATTAAAGGTTTTTCTGTTCTGAAAACTGCTATTCAGTGTTTTTTTTGGCAACTCTAAGCATGATATGGGAGGATAGAAGGACTTTATCTGCATGTTGTTATTCATTGCACAGAGCAGTTTGCTGGAAGCTTCAGAGAATCTACATGCCTGAACAGAATTTCATAGCTGAGTGGGATCAGACATTTTTTTCTTCATATTATCTGGGTGTTATTTAAAAGTGAAAAAGGCTCTACTGTGAATCTATGCAAACAACTAAAAGGAACAGTGGAAAGTGCAGCAATAAATTCCTTGGAACAAAAGAGCCTTTTTCTTTTTCAGTCTCCAAATTGTCATCTGTTACATCCACCGTGCTTTGTCTCTAACATTCTTTCAGTTTTATTGACACTCTTTTTCTTCCCTCTCCTTTCCTGTTTGTCACCCCACTCAGGTGTCATTTCGGTATCACTGTCAGCTTTATTCGGAGTGGAGGAGGACCAATCAGAAAGTGCGCCTGCTCATGCCCGACATGAAGGGGGCGCACACCACCCAGCGTTCGGTGCCGACAAAGTCGACCAAGAAAATGACTGACGAAACCATTGTATGAGTGCAGAGCGTCGGCTGGGAGGGGGGAGATAATGCAAATCAAGCACTCTCTAAAAACAAGTTTAATCATAGTAATATTGAACTTTTGCACTTCATATTGACGATCCTGAAGGGAAAGAGCTGCTTTCTCCTCATGATTTTTTTGTTAAAGCGCTTGATTTAAAAAAAACAAAACAACAAAAAAAAGACGACTAAATATTGGCTGACCACAAAAGTGGATTTGGAAAGAACAGATTTCAGAGTCATGTCAGGTAAAACTGTGTATCCACCAGTACTGGGATGTGAAGAAATTGACACAAAGAATGGACTAACCAGCCTGAATTTTTATGTAAGTGGCAGAAACTTATGAAATACTAAGACACAAGCTAATGTAGCAGGATATAACTGATTCAGCATGCTACTACAGTATAATAAGAGACGTATTCACTACCTATAATTCCCTTATAATGCCCCTGCACAATGTATTTAACTGGTTTTGAACCGTGGACGAACAGTAGTCTGCAAGGATGGGGATCTAAGCAAAGAAGATTGACAAAGTCTAGCTGTGAATACTCCTTTTTTGTTTGTTTGTTTGACAAGTAGAGGACAACTGTCCCCCGTCTACAATCTTAAGCATTAACTTTCCAGGTAAAGGTTTTACGCTACGGTTTCTTTAGAAAACATTAAATCGTGTCCCTCCTTGGTCATTAAAGGGAGCCACAGTGCATTTGTCACACGTTTCAAGAGGGGATACCAGAACTTGTATTTTGTGAAATAACACTAAATGACCCATGAAAAATTATTGAAGGCATGATAAGGTGTTTATACTCTAATTGGATGATGTCTCTTCTATTGTCATTAGGAAATAGACTCACTCCACGTGTAAATGCATCACTCATGAACTGAGCGGCCTAGCAATTATCCATGGTAGTATCTTCAAAGCTACAAGAAATGCAGGTTTTGAAAATAAGAAAAAAACTGTGTTTAGATTGGAGAGATTGAATACCCTGCAAAAAATAGTGATGCATGGTTTGAGACCAGGTGGGTGCTCAGCAAAAGCAAAAGAGAAATGTGCTTTGAGATGTCAATCAATGTATACTAAAAGTATTTTGTGTTACTGTAGTCTTCCTGCTTCATCCCCCCCTGGAAAGTTTGGGTTATTGTGCAATAAAACATGAGGGACTCCTGGACATAGTGTGAACTGGGATTTGCTTACTTATTTTAGCTTAGGTTTAGAATGCAGACAATTGTGATGGCACTCCTGATAAAGATGTGTAATAAGGTTGTAACCACCATTTGCAGCCATATATATATAAAAAGTTGAAATAATTATGGTGGCATTATTTGGGACCCCTAAAAAAATCCTTTGAAGCGCCATTAATAACATTATTTATTCTTTATGGTTTAAAATTGTTAGATTTCTATAAGTGTTTCCCATTTCTCTGGGGTGTGAAATGTAATGACACAGATCTGTTTCTGTGACTGAAGTCAGGGGTACATAGTATTTTTTTTACACAAAAGCCACTAGCATAATGAGGCCAAAAGTAATGCAAAAAATAATTATTTCCTAACATTACAAAAAAAAACCTGTCAGATTTAGCTAAACTCTGCAGGAACAGCCCATGTTGATAATCAGATTAGACTAACATTAACTATTTTGCAACAAATAATGCGAGCCTTGTGTGAAATGGCATGAAAATTTAAAAATGCACTCCATCCCCACTTAAAGTTATGTTGGAAAATCATCAATGCTGGTTTAAATGTTGGATCGGTTAAGAACCTTTTTTAAAAACTAGAAAACTTTGAAGGTTTCCTCTTCTGCCTTTTTAAGCCTTCCAAAATCAAGTACAGGCATAAATCTGATCAAATATAGCCTTTTTTAATTACAGAGTATTTTATTCTAATGGGATATTAGTTGTTTCGGTTACTATTTTTCCTTACTATATTCCCAGTGTAGTAGAAGTATCCGCCTCGACTCCACCCATTTAAAGATGCTACATCACACCACAATTACGCTCTCCTTTAAGAATTCAGAGACCTCTTACAGCCCTAAAAAAAGCATTTTCATGAACAGTTGCTGTCGCTGTGCAAATCACATACTAAAAGAGACACAGTCTTACATGGAACCTGAAAAATTTCGTTTTACCTCAAATCACAGCTCTCCAATCACAAAAGGGGGAGGTGATAACGGGACAGGCGAGGCATGGTCAAGCTAGTGGCCTTCTGGAGGGAACAGGTAAACAATGCTCTATGTAGGCCTGGGAAGAGCTGCTGATCAGAGAGCGGAATTTCGCTTACTGAGACATATAGGAATCAAACAAAACACCAGTATGGGGAGGATTCAATGGCAGAGTTGTATAACATTGTTTAAGCCCTTTAAAAAAAGTAGGTTTTGCATGGTAATGGTCTGTAAAATAAAAGAATTTGCCGATCCTAACCAATAAATTAGAAACTTTTGATTATTTAGATGTAATATAAAGCATAAATCTATACATAAATGCTTTAGCATGTGTATATATAAATATATATATATATATATATCAAATAATATATTTCCAACTGAATATATGCAGATTGAATAAAGCTTGGACTCAAATGTATTTCTGCAATAGTTCAAATTAATGAAAAGATTATATTTAGGCTCTTTAAACTTTTAACAGGGTTGTTAACAAATTGCTTAGTGTCTTTACCTTCAAATCACAAGGATTTTTTTTTTATGCTTTAGGAGCTTTATACAATATTTTGCGCAATCGTTCTATACAATCATATTTTCTTATATAACATATTTGAGTAAAAGAGATACACAGAAGCCTTTTTTCTTTTTATCCACTGGACAATCTAATGTCCTGTGCTCTTCAAATAATGTATCATGTTGTCATTGATATTTTAATTCGGCGTATTTAACGTGAAAAAGTTTTAGCAGTAGCTCTTAAAAGATCAGTAAGCAAGTTAGATAATGAATGTAGGACTGTGGCTTCTGAAGTCCAAACTCTAGAGAAAAGATCGTGTCATAAGACTCACATTTTATCCTCATGCTTCTGAGTCTATTCAGATGTGGGGAAAGCGACAAAATATGCTTTCTAAACTTACTGAAAGTGCTATAAAACCATTCGAGAGACTAACCTTTCTTTTAACCCTTCTAACAGAAATAGCTTCCTACTTCAATCTTAATTCATCTGCAGTCCCATTTGTGAAGCAATCATAAAATGTGTCACGCAAGGACTGTATGTTCATTTATATGTATATTTAAAGAAAGCACGCTGCAAAGTAATATTGTAAAATTTAATTCAATGGCATTAATATAATGTATGTCAGCAGACAAGCTATCAAAACCAAACAAACAGAAACAAAATTTATTTTACACAAAACAAAGTAAGCGTCAGTAGCATCACAACCACTTCTGGGATGATTACTGAAGGAGAGGGGCCCAAAGACAGGACTGCTGATCCAAGTGAAACCGGCAGGACTTCAAACCCGGGCCCTTAGTTTGTGCCTGATTCTACCAAATAGATGTGGAGTCACACAGGGTCTCAGACGAGGCTATTCTGCTACACTGTTGTGCTAACTAACTGATAGCTGCTCTGTGTTTACCCTCAGTCCTGTTTTTGGGCCAGGGGGGTTTCTGACCATACCTGGGTCAGATTACTACTTGAAATCTGTGAATGGAACTGATTTAAAAAAAAAAAAAAAAAAGTGCTGCTTCTGACTTATTGCACCCAGCATAATTGAAAGCACATCAACACTAGTGGATCTCATTTAATAATCGGCCCAGGTGAGGCAGGACGGTTTTCTGGGAGGTTACAGGTTCTGACAGCACTGCAGCTTGCTCCCTCTCTGTCCATCCGTGGTCGGAGGGACGCTGATGTCCACCACGTTGTTTCCTGGGGACTCGTCGTGGGCAGATCGCTCAGCAATCTGTTTCTGCGATACAATCCGGTAGATTTCTGTTTTATGGAATAGATAAAACAGAGAAGACTGTTAATATCCTGTTTGCACCTTTGTAAGGTTAACCCTTCCTGACCACAGGATACCTAAAATACTGCATCGCTAAACTGGAAAGGGAAATAAGCTTGGTAAGAGGAAGTTAGGCATGCAAAGTCTCTATTCTACAGCAGTGAAACACAGAACTGCACCTTAATGAATCATACAGTGAGAAACATTTTGACCAAATATAAACAGCAGCTATTCTGGGAACTAAAAACAGCATTCCAGGTGCTACAGTGGTTCAATTCAGTTTATTTATATAGCGCCAATTCAAAATACATGTCATCTCAAGGCACTTTACAGTTCACCAGATCATACAGTCAAATTGAATCAAAGTTTTCTATCTACGGAAAACCAGTTGATTGCATCGACTCATTGACTGGAAGGCAATCCCTCACAATAAGCATGATTGTAGTGACAGTGGAGAGGAAAAACTTCCTTTTAACAGGAAGAAACCTCCAGCAGAACCAGGCTCAGAGTGAGCGACCATCTGCCGAGGCCGACTGGGGTTCAAGGAGACAAGCAGAGATACAAAAGGCAACTGTAAACGGCGGCACCATCCAGGAAACAGCCCGGCAGGCAAGCACCGAGCCAGCGCCCATTTCAGAGGATGAAGGGGAGCACATACAGTTAGTCACAGTCAGAGAAACAGGACTACACTGAAAAACAGGCAGATCTCGAACATCTATAAACAAGGGTGTTGATGGCAGCAGCATAGCTGATATTTCTCTCCAGGATGGTGTCACAGCCAAACAGGAACAGACGAGGCAAAGCTACTCTGAGAAAAAACAGAGGGAGCATAACAGATTCTGCAGAGTGGGAGAATAGAGATAGAATTAAACAGAACAATGAAATAGGGGTCTCTTTGTCCTGCAGAGGTCTAGGTCTAAGCCTCCAGAAGGTTAAATCCTCAAATAGAGACATAAATATCTAAAGACACAGTGGTTTGAAAAATATTTATCCTATAAAGATTTTTTTTGTTGAAAATCAGTTCATCAAACATATTTGAATAACAAAGTCGATATCCTGTGCTTTCAAATGAATTTGAATTGTATTTATTAGCAGTATTGGGCACGTTACTTTGA